AGCCGTTGAGCGACCGCTTCCTGTGTGCAGCCCTCGAGCTTCCTGTTCAACGTCTGACCTCCTTGAAGCTGAACTACGAGTTGCTCTAGACTGATAACGCAGATACCGTAGTACGTCAAGATGACGCGTATCCAATGTGCAGCACTGTACTTTCAGAGTAGCACGCTCCGACAAAAGGCAGCCCTTGTTTCAGGATATCCACCGGCACTGCAGCTTCATCTACGGATGACATTTAGCCGTGCAATGCTACACGGGAGCGACAGGACGTTAGCTGCAGTCTTGTCTGGATCAACACGGACACCTTTTCCACTGACAATGTGCCCGAGAAATCGAATCTGGTCTTGGGCAAAATGACATTTGCTAGGTCTTGCGTAGTGTTGCTCGCTCTGCAAAATCTCAAATACACGGCGCAAATGCTGCTAGTGCTCCGTTCGATTCTTCGAGAAAAAAAAAACAGAAATATCGTCTAAGTAGACAACCACAAACGCCGAGAGCTCCTTGGTTTCAAAGATCCGACGCATCAAGCGAGACCAGGTGCCTGGCATCCCTGCAAGGCCCATTGGAGCTACGCACCACTGGTAGATTTCGGAGCCTGCGCGAAAAGCAGTATACAGTCGGGAGTCAAATACCATTCTCATCTGATGATATTCCGAAACCAAATCAATTAGCGTGAACACATGAGCTCCAACCAGCCGATCAAAGATATCATCGATACGAGGAATAGGAATACGCGGAATATTGGTGACGGAATTCACATAACGATAGTCGATAACCCATCGGACAGGTTTGGACAGATCCCCTCCACGCACCCACTGTATTTTCGATGGCAACTCACCCGTCAGTGGATCGCGTTTGGGGGCTGCGAAGATATTAAAAACCATGGTGACGAGCTACGTTCCACCCACTTCTTCTTCAGGAGCTTATCCACGAACACTTGAACCGCTGCTTTCTCAACATGGGCATGACGAAAAGGAGGTCTAGCAGATGGAGCTGTACTCTCCTTAAGCTGAACGGAATGTTCGATGTCCCGTTCAGGTGGTAGACCCTCCGGAAGCTCTTCCGTAAATAGTAGGCAAACTCACCAACCAGTTTTGTCACTTCGGCATCCGGCTTCACCGTACCTGCATCCGTCACTACATCAAGGTGAAATACTTCAGTATACAATCCCTGAAATTCGTCTGCATCAACGTACTCGATTTCCGGTTCCACAAAGATAGAAGGCGTCCTTTCTCGCGGTAAATTACGCCGAACTGGTCGTTTCCAAGACAAAATTTCAGTTGACCAGTCAATATCGGAATTTTCGCGGCGAAGCCATGTCTGGCCCAGGATGCCGTCGAATTCCTGCCTTAAAGGCCATTCTACCAGCTCGACTGAACACATACGGTCTTCCACCGTCATGTCAACCGTGAACTTGCGCGACGTAGTCATCGATAGTCTCCCTTCAAAATCGCGAGCCCGAATTTTTTGTTCCCGAGTTCCAGCAGGAGTCGCCAGGAGATCGCGTCGCACAATACTGTGTGTCGCTCCAGAGTCAACTAACATCTTCAGACGTTGTCCTCGCGCTAATGCTTCCACAACTAAAAGGCCACCTTGCACTTGTAGCTGATCTAAACGCAGCTCCATCGCGTTTACAGACGTATCAATCACACTTCGCTCTTGAGGAAATTCCTCCATCTCGAACTCAACTGGACTTTTGTTTTCAGAAATTGCGCATGGAGCTTCTGATTCACATGGCTCAACGGATACTTCATTTACATCCGCTGAGCTCCCTCGTTCCCCTGGCGTTTCTTCGGGCAGTCCGAAATGCGGTGACCAGGTTCTCGACAGTAAAAACAGAGACCTTGGCGGCGACACTGCTCAAACGTTGGACGAGTTGTCACTTGTGATATGTCCATAGGTTCAGGGCCATCGCGACGAGCCGCTGTCTGTCGGCGGACAGCGCCAAAATGGGCTCGCTCGTACGCGTGCGCGGCGGAAATAGCAGTCTTTAATGAGTTGCAATTTAGGTAGTCAACCTCCTTGCGAGTGTCGGACTTCAAACCGGTGATAATGTGGTCTA